ATTTTTATAAATATAGCTGTTTGTATAAGGTTTCCAGTAACAAAACAGCGTGTTATGAAAAATTAAATGCGCAAATACGTCATTGTGCCTGTCAAACGTATAACGCTGAGTGGAGCGGTCGACCGCTCTGAGATGACCGCCCTAAATCTCGTCAGCGAAAATAGGCGAGAGCGGTCCGTGAGGCGTGGGAGGTGCCAGTATGAGGCAGCAGCAACCCTTGGAAGGTGCTGAAGTCAGTGACAACACTGACCGGTATCCCTGAAAACAGTGGCACTAATGGCAGGTGTCAGAGGAAGTGCCAGTATGAAGTGCCGAGGTCAGCCCAAGTCAGCCAAAGTCAATGACAACATTGAGAGCTAGCCCCGAAAACAGTGGCACTTGTGGTGCTTAATGGCAGGTGTCAGCGGAAGTGCCAGTATGAGGTGCCAAAGTTAACCAAAGTCAGTGACAACACTGACAGCTATCCCCGAAAACAGTGGCAGCCGTGACACATGGAAGTGCCTCTGTAGGTGCGGTGTCACGATTTGCACCTGCTGTTTCTCACAGAAAGGAATGAAACAAATAAGGGCAATATTGTTTCTTATATTAAGTGAGCCACAGAGCCACTTGCAGGTCTGGAGCTGCAGGTTGCACAGCCCTGATAGAGCAATGCTGTGATCCTATCTCTCTCCAGCTGATGCTAAAATGCTACATCTTCATTTTAATTTATTGTTGAAGGTAAAAGCTTAAATTGGTCTAAAGCACCAGTTAGATATGGTAAATAATAATTTAGTGTTATCCCTTCAGTTCAGGGCCCCAGACCAGTTCTACAGGGACACTAGAAAACTGTCAAAGTAGAAACATGCAAATGGTTTTCGGCAAATCTACATTTCTCAAATGTGTTTAATGAAATATCTCTCTGTCGCTGCAGATTTGTTCTGTGGGACATGTTCAAGTTAAATGGATCAGGTGTCTCCAACTTTGATGATAGGAAATTATTTCTTTGATGCCTACCGCATGATGCCTACAGACCAGAATCTGCAGGGGAAACTAGGTTGATCCATGAGATAGTAATCAGTTAAATTATATTAATGATGTTATTTGTTCCCACAGACCTCCAACAGCCAAGTGTCTCAAATGAGGAGGAAGATTCTGCCATCCAACAAGTCTGGAGTCTGGCAAGTGGGTCCAGTCAGGACCAGACAGAAGCAGAACATCAGTGGACTGAAGAGGAACAGATGGAACCAGAACCAAAATGGATTAAAAAAGAAGAGGAGGAACCAGAACCTACACTGTTTAAACATGAGGAAATAGAATATTCACTAATGTATGTAAGAAAAGAGGAGCTAGATTCTTCAATGCTTCAACATGAACAACAGCCACCAGA